TGTAAAATGAAGCGACAAGATCTACAGTGCTTGCAAGATTATATTTATATTTATATTCAAAGAAAATATTGATAATAAATTAAATAGTATTTATATCAAAATTATCTACCCAAAATTACGAATTACACTAAGAAGCTAAAATTTCTGCATATTATACATAAAAAAATTATACATAGAAAAAAAAACGGTTTTGTTGAAGTACGGTATTGCTAAAAATTTAGTTAAATATGTAATACTCGATTAAAGAATAATAAAGTTTTTTTTATCTGTGAAAAAATTTGAATAAGTCAAGTTTTCGAGAGAAAACTTGTAAAATATATTTAGTCAAATTAATTATTTATATCGAGTTGCTCGATATGCGACAAGTGTTGACGCATGCACAGGATGTATACCGTAAAGTTGCATGTAGCATTGGAAATATTTATGCAACTTACGGCCGCCAGTATGCTCTATGTTGGATGTAAAGCGAAAAAGAGCAAGGACAAGGCTGCTCGATATGAGGGCAGTGGAATCAGTATGGCTATACTAGTCAACGACTATTTTCAGGTATCCCACAGTTCCACGTCGGGGTTAAATATAACTGCGACGAAATATTTCGCGTGCTCCCATCTTTAGAGACATTTTCCTATCGATTATTTTCGCGATTTATACTTGTAGCTGATATTACAAAACTTTCGTAATATATCATAATTATTTTTGAATTAGTTTGAATTAGAACTAAATCATTTCTTTTCTTCTTATTTCTTTGAAGTTTCATCTAATATACATACACAATAAAGCATACTTGGCACCACAGCGAACTGAAAAATTAATATATCAAATTACGCTCGGCGGCGTATTATAATTCATGTTGAATAGTTTAGCTGCGAGCGACTTATTCAATTTTTATTATCCTTCAGTTCCGTTCGAATTTATTTGATTGTTTCTGTTTTTAATAATTAAACCCTTCTAAATAACATTAATTCTAATTATTTTTTTAAATTTTATAGATTTTTATCAATTATACTCTCTATCGATGTTTTACTTCTATAAACAAAGATTTTAAGTCTTTTCTTCTTAAAATAAATTTTCTTCTTTTGACAGATTTTTGTAATAAATTGTGACTTTGCTTTAATTAGCCGTTGTTATCGTATCATTTTTTTATTAAATTTTTTGCATAGAAAAGTTGCGGGTATATGTAAAGTAACTGATATGAAATGCTTTATATACTTGCAAGAATCTATAGACTCTTTATCGTTCAGTAAGTGGAAGTTAATGAATCTTCCAGAGAAAACATGAACGTTGCATTTATAATCACGTCGTCATCGTTTATATAGATTGTAAAAAAGAATGCTATAAAAATATTTTATTTAATCTACGCAATTCAGATTATTAATATCATATATGTATTTTCAATGCTCCAAAAATGTCGCGACAAACGAAACAAAGTGATACAGAATGTAAGTATGTTATTCATCCAGATAAAGATAGTTCAAGGTTACACCTGATTTAATTTAATATAACATGAAAGGTTGACCAATCGCAACATACTATAAGTATCAGTAGCAATGTGGCATTTTGTTTGGTGTCGTGTGAAATGTAGGCAACATAATGTTATAATGTGGACAGATTTTTCAAGCGTGAATTTTTCGGATGGAAAGTCCGTAAAATTTTATTCGCCTATCTTGAATTATTTTAAGCTCGCCATTTCGGAAGGTATAGCCCTTCTTATCAATCACGAATGAACGAGCTATTTAACATATGTCTATTTTCGCAGAGGTAGGTCACGAGAAGTGCACGGGTGGCTGTTGCGTGATTAAAACACCAGAGTTTATACACGCCGAAATCATATCGGTTAGAAACTGCGCAGATCGAGTTTCCAATTACGAGATTAACGTGCTGCTCTAAAATCTACCTTACGTTGCCATAGGGTAATACCTTCGCCTAAAAGTACCAGGCACCCCACTTACGATCGAGATCCAGAATTAAACAGCGCTGTGATTTCGCTGGATTCAATTTCAGACACAGATACATGCGATCCCGAAGAGGTTCACTTTCTACCATAGACTCAATTTTAAAAGGAAAAACTTCTATTTATTGTTAGATATAAAAAAAATAATGGTAATTCAATCCTTTGAATTTTTAATTAAATAATCTTTTTTTTTTAATTTCCATGTGGATTCAAAATATAAATCAATCTATTTCTGTTGTTAATTTCAAAGTAAACAACGTCTACTAAATTTGAATCAAATATATTTATAATATATTTATAATATAT